GAACTATCAGATGGAAGCAGAAATAGATTCCATTTACTTCTGAAGTATGCAGTTGAATGTACTTACCATGTTAAAAACCTGAAGTAAAGCCTTTTTGTTCTTTTTAATTAATTATTATTATTATTATTACTACTACTACTATTACTACCCACCATCTCTAAATTCACGCTGATTTGTTCTGACATCCCAAATTGAACAAACCTTTAAGGTCACTGTTCGGAAAGAACGCCATTACACTGTATCCATGCTATTCGGGGCAGTTATCTCCCTTTATGGCACACTTTTCAAAATGTTTTTTATACTCCAAGTAATCTTTAAAAACAGGCAGGTGTGCCCAATAATGAACCTCACTTACCCAAGTCTCTATGCAACTGCTTGCTATTCCATTTGAGTTTTTTGATAACTATGACATCTGAGAATTGTGCATTCTGGAATGTCAAAGCAGCCAGCCTCAGACTGGAGGTTGCTAGGGATGTTAAAAACAAACCTCTCTCCCCACCACCCATTTGTGCAGAATGCCTGCTTAGGTTGTTTAATAAAAAACAATCAAACACATCTCTCCTAAATTAATGAACTCTACCCATTTCTTCTGCAGCTCACCCTTACAATGAATTATAGTATTGCTCCTCCAAAAAAAAGTTACAGGTATGTTGAGCTATACGTTTAAACTGAATCTTTTCTTACCATTTTACACAGTATTTCATATTACTGCATGCGTGTTGTATGATCATGTAATAATACACCCTACTTTCTGCATACACACAAGGGACAGAACTGAAGTAGCCATGGATGTTTTGTAACTGAGGGTAGAATTTAGTCCTGCAAAAGGAATGTAGTAACCTTTTGAAGCATAAAATTGAATGGAATCCAACTCACTCTGCCCACAATGGTGTTGACTGTACAATGCTTACAGGTGTAAGAAGGAACATAAGTTTACCGCCACTAACATAAAATTGATTGGACCCTTGTGTATTCATGACCATATTAGATAGTTTCTGTCCTCTTTCAGCTGCTCTTCTGACCATAGCAACATATTAAAGATAGCACTTATGTTGCACCTTTCAAATAAATGTAATCCTGTTTACACAATCTGAATCAGGTATTTCAAAGGCTGTACATTCAAATAAGTATGTGAACTTTCAGAATACCAAAATGAAAAAAGTTATAAACCTATTCGAATGTTGAGCTGGAATCCTGGTTTGATATTCGTTATTGATCTTCAACAGCTAAGAAAAACCAGCAAATAAAACCCTATGTCCATCTGAATGTACAAGTCATCGTAACAGTATTTTTGTTTATACATTCTACTTTCATAAATTATATTAGCAATTATGACTTGAGACTGAGTTCTTCCTGGGAGTTAACAGGCTAAGATAAGAACTTTAGCTTCAGCATAGGCTTTCAACATCTCCAGTAGCCATTAAATGCTCTCCCTAGTCACTACTGTTTAATTATCAATCATCATCATCCTACACTATATTCAGACCAGAAAAGCTATTTCTAAACTACACATCTTCAAAATGTTGCTAAAGCACCAACCTTATTGTGGATTATGGACATGCTAAATTAGGACACAGTCAACTTGAAATCTCAGTTTCAACGTGTTAATTTAAAGGTAATTTCAGGTACCAAACCTGCCCAATTACTACTGCCTATTTGTGGTTTAACAGTTAGTTTCTATTTTTTAAGAATAATTTTCTCTTCCCCTCTTGTGTGAAAACAGAAAGAAGTTTAATATCGGTACTTTCAGAGTTACCTCCACAAAAACTCACTAGAGCTTCAACATAAATAAGGAACAATCTTGTTTTAGAATTCAACCAAAGCTGAAATTCAGCTTCTCAATCTCCACCTAGGAGGCCCTACACAATTTTGCTCTCACTACAGTCTCTGCTCATCTTTCCATTTTCCTCTTTCCTTCCCTATGCTTTTCACCATATAACTCCTTTTGTCTCATCTTCCTGCTCTGATTCATGTATTCTGCCCTCTACACCTGGAATAGTCTTCCCTTCCTCATCCACAAAGAGTCTCTCTTGCTCTCTCTCTCAAATCCCATGTTTTCAAGCAAGAATGCACCCTGTAGAATATACAGCCTCACGTCTTATGTGGCACATTAATAATGAACTGTTGCATTGGCCCTGGCTATGTGCAGTAAGGAACTTGGATATATGGGATACTG